ATAGCGGACGCGATGACTATTACGATCCATCGCCGCCTCTGCCCCAAGGGCTGAGCCCGGCGATGTTCTCGGTTTCTCTGTCAACAAGATTGTCGGTGATCATTCCGTGTCCGGTTCCGTGACAGGCGTCGACGTGCATGAGGGCGAGTTCACAATCGAGATCAAATGGGATGATCAGTCTGAGATTTTGCATCACTCGTGGTCAGATGTCTGCGACAACATGCGTCTGACAAACCAGCAGGGCGCAGCTGTGCACATGATCAACACCCGCAATCCACGCCCTCGTCGTCGTCAGCGCGCCGGTGATTCCGGTCCGGCTTCGGCGCCTGCGCCCCAGGAGTGGTCGAGAATCTTGCCTGGGCGGCCCCGCAGGTGAGACAGGCTGATTGCATTCCAACTTGCGCCAGAGCACTGGCAGATGAATGCGCGCGCGTAGCCGTGTATCCATGCACTTTAATCGATAACGCTTTAAGCTTGATTCGTGTTGTTGTTTCGCCAGTTCTCAGCATGAATGCATTTGCTCTCGGTTTTCTGTTGTCTCATGGACGGATTCGCAAGACACGTTTGCCCTCCCAGACATGCTGGCTCTCCGGGCTCCTCTTGCTTCATCCACTGTCCAAGTAGATCGCCTCGTGTATGCAGTGCGAAAATTTGGTGTCATGCTTGCTAACATCACGCATGGCATGCGCAACCGGTATAGTCAGCAACGAGCGTGCATAATCCTTCGGCGCTCGTCGTCTGATCTTGATCCACACATATTGGAATTAAATGTTTGCTCTTCCATCAGGCACGCTCCCCTTGTCCTTTCTCATTTGTCCTCTGCTCTCGCTGTCCTCAAATTCCTTCGCTCCATCCTTCTCTTTAATTTCCTCGGTTGCTCATCGTTCCGGTCGCGCACGAAGCTGTTGAGATTTCTCGCGCAATCTGCCCAGTTTGTCGAAGCAGACAGAGTGTCCACTGAGGCGACTGAAAAATGTTGTGTCCATGTGGGTGTCTCTTGATTGCAATCTGTCGCACGTGGGAAAAAAAGCATTCGTGGTATCGAGACGCGCACTGCCGAACATTATAATAATGTGTTGCGTCGTCGTGCTAATGCCCAGATTCCCGCCTATTTTAAAATCAGGTCCGTGGGCGTAGGTAAGTTTATTAAGGTTCCTCTGTTGTCCTATCTCGTTCCAATGATTCCGAAATGCGGTTTTTAGAAAATCAATGCATTTCATTGTACAGACCCCAATTGAATGTCCCATTTGTGCGGATGCATGTTCGCACTGCGTACGAGCACGCAACGGATTCTCGCCATGTCGTGAAGCCCGCGACTGCCACTTCCAAGCCTCGTGTTGTCAGGTTTGCGAATCCTGCTGGCTATTTCCGCGGTTGTCGAATTCATCGCAACGACGCGTGGACGGAAGAAGATATTTCCGCGGCGTACTCATTGCAAGAACATAGCTTGTCACCCGTGGCGCTGAGGCTCGGGGAGTTTCGAAAGAAAGGTCGTTTTTTTCCCAGAGAAGACTTTAACATGGGTATGCAACCATAAGCCACACTTAATGGCAACAACTTAAGTCTCGCACGTCATCGGTGTTTTCAGGTTCTAGACAAACCGTTTTTTACGCAATCATGTCTCGCTGCAAATTCGTGCTCCTACTATTCCCCTCCTTCCTCTCCGCTCTCTCCTGCTTACAGAGATTAACCAACAAATGACTGCCCAATTAGTGGCCGGGACGTCTCTGACCCTCCAGGTGAAGCGGTGTTCGGCCCCCAGCCCTAAACTGATGTTGGTTAACTCCAAGCGGGCTCGCAAGTTGGATCGGTACGAGTTTCCGTGCACGTGCTGTGTTGCAGAAAATGCTGTGTGTTGGTGTGTCTGACAATGGTCACGTTTGCTGTCTTGCTTCCGATTCCGCTCTGTCCGGTTGTATTCCCAAGAGTTTCCATTATGAAGGGTCCTGCGTGTGGTCTCACCATGCTTTGACCCAGCAATTGGAAACCATAACGGATCACGTTGCCTCCTCGTGCTGCCGTGTCGTCCCGCATGCTGGCCTTGATTTTAGTCACTTGCATGTGTACACGGCTGCTGAGTACCATCGTCACAACCATTTTCGTGGTTTTGGTGTTGCTCAAAGCGATGTGCAATGGTGGCGTCGTGCATTGTTTGACATCGCCGTGGTTGCGCCTGCTGACAAGCACAAACGCACGGTTGCTATTATGTGTCCGCGGAGTTGGCATAGCCGCTCCCGGGAGTGCATGCGTCGTGACTCCTGGCGAATACAAGAGATCCCTCGGTGGCCAAAGACCAACGCTGCGTTTGAGGAGTTTCAGGTTCACTGTGGCTACACCGGCGTCCCTGTGAGGCCGACGCATAGCCATGTGTTCGGTGGAGTTGACTGCTGGCCGAAGATATATAATCTTGCCTTCAAATCTCGGCCTCTTGGCTCCTATTCGAAACATTGTCTGAGGGATGTGTTTTCTCTTTGCTGTCGTGCCATCAATGTCATGCTTGTTTCCACCCGTCCCCATTCTCTCTGTGTCTGCTGCTTCCTCTGTTGTGTCTCGTTTCCATTCTTTCAATGTTGATTGCCAGGTGTGGACAAGTCGCGGACACACACCTGCGATGGTGTCGTTCAAGCGTGACACAGAGAGCTTCTCCAACAATGTTCCGCATGCTCTCATCTCGAAAGCTTTGGATTGGCTCGTTGCTGCGTGGTACGAGAAACACGGTTCCCGGCGAAGGTACATTAAGATCCCTCGCTGCAAGAAACCGCCTAATCGCTATCGCGAGAGCCCCATGTGTTTCTCCAAGAGTTTCCGTTGTCATTTTCGTAATTTGTCGTCTGGTGATCGTGTGTTTCCGGTTCCTCATAATTGTCGCGTCGTTTCGTCCGATTCGTTCATTATCCATGTTGATGATATTAAACGCATTGTGCAAATGGACTTGTCTTTCGGCTTTCTTCATGTTGGCAGTGATTTGTTCGCTCCGGGGGTTGGCATGACCCAGGGAAATAATCTTTCTCCTGGAGTGTGTAACGCTGTTTGCTGTTACCTTGAGAGGAAGCAACGCCTTATCCCTGCGACGCTGAGTCTCCCTCAACACGTAAATAGAGTTATTTGCCGCTGGACAGATGACATATTCGGTGTATTCATATTCGGTGTGTTATGTTTCTGGAGCGAGTGCGGCTGTGTTGAAGAAGAAATTGAAAGCAGTCTTGTCTGCTTCTGACGGTTTCGTCGACCAGCTCAGCTCAGCATACACCGGAGCCGTGCACTCCCGCTTACGCCAGAAGGCTTCTCATGATTGATTTAATTTGATAGTTGAGGACCCGGCTGTTTTTGTTGGTTTTGATGTTTTGCTCGGGTCTTGCATTCAATTGCGCCCCCATATCAGGAACGTTGATTTGCTTGTTGCTGACAACCTCACCCTGCCATTCCCTCAGTACCAGGCTTGGCATGCGAACCGTTCTCTCCAGGAGAAAATTGGCAGCGTGATTGGTTTGATCACTCAATGCGAGGACCGGTGTCTGGCCGTCGACCCCGAATGCTCGATTGCTTCCCTCTTCCTTGAACTGAAGTGCCTTGAGTACCCTTGGAAAGCTCTCGACGCTGCTGTGTCCAGATTATTGATGAAGCATCCGTATCTCTCTTGTGTGCCTCGTGCTCTCTCTCGTGCCTAAGCGAAATGGGCTCCCAATGCTTAACTTATGCTGTGCTGCTCTCCTCGTCCCCCCCCCTCCTTCTGCATGGGCTCATCGATGTTCACAGTCACATATGCTCGCTGGCGGGGTGCGAGTGATTCCGGCTCTTGGCGGCCACCCGTCTCCGCAGGCAGGATGAGTGCATCTCGTATGCTGTGTTGTGCATGTATATATATACTATATATATATATATATATGTATCGCGAAAGTAACCTGGGCCGAATTTGCGTGCACGTGTCATTCTATTGTGATCACACCATCCATGTCTCTCTTGTTCCCTTCCCCTCCCTCCCCCCTGTCCCTTTCATCCTGTCTTGCCGGTTGCTCTGTCCATGGCCGTTGTGTGCTCAGACTAGAACGGCCCAGTGAAGTAGTCAAAATAATCGTCACAGTGATCGCTGCAGCAGTTTGCGCACCTCCTCCTCCACCTCCTTCCTGAGCTCGGGGCTGGGCGGCGCGGGAGGCGCGGCCGGGGGTGGCACCCCGTGGGCGCCGTCCAAGGGTTCCTCTGGGAATGTCGCCCGCAGTTTGGTCAGCGTCTCGTCCGTGTGCGGCGCCAGCTCGGCTTGCATCGCCGCCGCCAGCGCGCGGGTTTCCTCCCTGGCCGCAGCCAGGGTGTGCACCCGGTGTGCCCTCTGCTTGTCCGTCGTCTTTCTTGGCGGCGCTCCTGCCGCTCGTCCAGCAGTTCCGCGCCCGTGAGGCCCACCACCCGGGGCCGAGCGAACCGCATCATGTCAAACAGCAAGAACGTTTTCCACTTCGCTGCAGCATCTCCGAGCCGCGTCGCCTCTTCCAACGCCTCCAGCGCTTTGCGTCTCGCGTGCGTTACTGCCCCCGCGAAATCTGTCTGTCACTTGCGCGAACGTTGGGACCCCGGTGCGAAAAGAAGACCGGCACTCCAGGTGTTGCCACCACACTCGGTCAGGGAGGGCCGTCTCATCCCATGCTGGATGCATTACTGGAACGCTGCTTTCCTCCTCCTCCTCCTCCTCCTCCTCCTCCTCCTCCTCCTCCCCCTCCTCCTCCTCCTCCTGCTCCCCCTCTTCCTCCCCCTCCCTCGCCTTTCTCCTCGCCTGCCGTTCGCGCCCTCGGCCCCTCGTCGCTTGGCTCTTTCGGCCCTCGCTCGGCCCCCTCGGTGCGGTGCTCCGTTTGGTCCCTCTCGTCTCTCTGCGCGCTGTGGCACTGCCCGTGTGCAAGCATGATCGTGTAACCGGGCAGTGTTAATTTACACTCACACTCATGTCCAAATACCGTGCGCAGCAGCAGCTCCTAGCCCACCTCCTCGCCCCCACCCAGGTTGCGCCGCCCCGCCTTCATGCCCGCCGAGACCCCGTCCGCCGAGCAGCTCGAAGCGAGGTCCGTCGCCTGGGCGCGGGCGGAATGGCGCTCACTGTTTGGCAAGGCGCGATCAAGCTCGCTGTCGGCGGCGGCGGCAGCGGAGTCCGCGTGATCACCGTCGTCGTCACCGTCGTCGTCGTCGTCGAAAGTGATGCCGCAGTCGTCGGCGGCAACGGCGTGGCCGTCTTGACCGTCTTCGTCGTCGTCGGCGTCATCGCGGTCGTAGTCCCAGTCGCCGCGACTGTCGTCGTCGTCGCATTGATTATCTTCGTGGTCGCCAGCGCTGGAAATGGAGGCGGTCACCAGAATTCTCAGGAGGTTATCCGAGGTCTCTAGAGTCTCTGGAAGTGTCCTGGAACCTCAATCGACGAAAACAAGAGAACGTGGAACATCCGCAGATCTTCTTTTAGCGCCATTCCTCATGCACGCACGGGGTCTCGACAGGCCCCCCGACGAATCCGCTCGCTGCCAGACATCAAATTCGAGTCAGACCTTAGCGGCACCATACCGAATTTGAAAAGAGGGACGCTGGGCGACGAGACCCAGCCCCGAAGGCGGGAGAGGCTCAGGAGGAGGAGGAGGAGGATGAGGAGGAGGAGCACCATAATAAACCAAAGATGCATCAACTATGCTGCAATACACTTTCCCGTCCCCTCCTGTGTTGGCTTCTCGCTTTGAATACAGCACTGCGGTCGCACATCTCCTCCTCCACCCCCCCCTCGCTCCTCCCCCTCCTCCTGCCCCCCCTGCGCTGCTCCTCGGTGCCTGCGAACTGTGCAACTGTCGCCACTCTCGTGGGCTCCAGCGATACACGGAGTAGGGGAGTATCTGAGACCTCCACGCTCCCTGGGATGCTGCGAGCTGCGCAGCTGTCGCAGCTTTCGTGAGGCTCCTGAGGGGCACGGAGGAGTAGGGACGTACCCGAGACCTCGCAGCTCCCAGGGCGGCTGCGAGCTGCGCAACTGTCGCCACTTTCGTGGGGCTCCTGGGAGGCACCGCGGAGTAGGGGAGTACCCGAGACCTCGCAGCTCCCTGGGAGGCGGCGATCCGATCCGCGCAACTGTCGCATCGTTCATGGGTTCCTGGGAGGCACGGCGGAGTGGAGGAGCACCCAGGACCTCGCAGCTCCCTAGGTGGCTGCGAACTGCACGGCTGTCGCCACTTTCGTGCGCTCCTGGGAGGCACGGCGGAGTAGGGCAGTACCGGGGACCTCGCAGTCGTCTGAGAAGCTGCGAACTGCGCAGCTGTCGCCACTTTCGTGGGGCTCCTGGGAGGCACGGCGGAGTAGGGGAGTACCCGGGACCTCGCAGCTCCCTGGGAGGCTGCGAACTGCGCAGCTGTCGCCACTTTCGCGGGCTCCTGGGAGGCACGGCGGAATAGGGCAGTACCATGGACCTCGCAGCTCCTTGGGAGGCTGCGCACTGCGCGGCTGTCGCCACTTTCGTGGGCTCCTGGGAGGCATGGCGGAGTAGGGCAGTACCCGGGACCTCGCAGCTCCCTAGGTGGCTGCGAACTGCACGGCGGGGAGCCAGCAGGGACCTCCATTCTCCCTGGGAGGCTGCGAACTGCGCAACTGTCTCCACTGTCGTGGGCTCCTGGGAGGCACGGCGGAGTAGGGGAATACATGGGACCTCTCAGCTCCCTGGGAAGCTGCGAACCGTGCAACTGTCGCCACTGTCGTGGGCTTCTGGGAGGCACGGCGGAATAGGGGAGTACCCGAGACCTCGCAGCTTCCTGGGAGGCTGCGAACTGCGAATAGCTGTCGCCACTTTCGTGGGCTCCTGGGAGGCACGGCGGAGTAGGGCAGCACCCAGGACCTCGAAGCTCCCTGGGAGGGTGCGACCTGCGAAGCTGTCGCCACCTTCGTGGGCTCCTGGGAGGCACGGCGGAGTAGGGGAGTACCCGGGACCTCGCAGCCCCCTGGATGGCTGCGAACTGCGCAGCTGTCGAGCGCTGCAACCGTCGCCACTTTTGTGGGGGCTCCTTGGAGGCACGGCGGAGTAGGGCAGTACCCAGGGCCTCGCAGATCCCTGGGAGGCTGCGCACTGCGCAGCCGTCGCCACTTTTATGGGGGCTTCTTGGAGGCACGGCGGAGAAGGGACCTAGCAGCTCCCCGGAAGACTGCGACCTGCGCAAGCACGGCGGAGTAGGTTCCGAACTGCGCAGCTGTCACCACTTTTGCTGGCTCCTTGGAGGCACGGCGGAATAGGGCAGGCAGTACCCGGGACCTCGCAGCTCCCTGGGAGGCTGCGAACTGCGCAGCTGTCGCCACTTTCGTGGGCTCCTGGGAGGCGGAGTAGGGAAGTACCCAGGACCATGCCGCTCCCAGGGAGGTTGCGAACTGCGCAGCTGTCGCCGCTTTCGTAGGTCAGCACCCAGGACCTCGCAGCTCCCTGGGTGGCTGCGAACTGCGCAGCCGTCACCACTTTTGTTGGCTCCGTGGAAGGACGGCGGAGTAGGGCAGTACCTGGGACTTCGCAGCTCCCTGGGAGGCTGCGGACTACGCAGCTGTCGCCACTTTCGTGGGCTCTCCTGGGAGGCACGGCGGAGTAGGGCAGCACCCAGGACCTCGCAGCTCCCTGGAAGGCTGCGAACTGCGCAGCTGTCGCCGCTTTCGTGAGGCTCCTGAGGGGCACGGCGGAGTAGGGACGTACCCGAGACCTCGCAGCTCCCAGGGCGGCTGCGAGCTGCGCAACTGTCGCCACTTTCGTGGGGCTCCTGGGAGGCACGGCGGAATAGGGGAGTACCCGGGACCTCGCAGCTCCCTGGGAGGCTGCGAACTGCGTAGCTGTCGCCACTTTCGTGGGCTCCTGGGAAGCACGGCGGAGTAGGGCAGTAACCGGCACCTCGCAGCTCCCTGGGAGGCTGCGAACTGCGCAGCAGTCGAACTGCGCAGCTGTCGCCACTTTTGATAGCTCCTTGGAGGCACGGCGGAGTATTTGGACACCCGAAATGGGTACCGAAATAATGGGTACAATGCCCAACAACAAATGTTGTCCCAAACCAACAGCGGCCGCTGTTGGGCAGGCGGCCTTCTGTCTCGAATGGACACAGGCCGCGGCGGCGTGGACAGCGAATCCTGTTCAGAATGAACAGGAACTGCTGTTGGACATAGTGCCCATTCTTTCCGTGCCCATCTCGGGCGTCCAGAGAGTAGGGCAGTACCCGGGACCCAGCAGCTCCCCGGGAGGCTGCGAACTGCGCAGCTGTCGCCACTTTCGTGGGCTCCTGGGAAGCACGGCGGAGTAGGGCAGTACCCAGTACCCAGGACCTCGCAGCTCCCTGGGAGGCTGCGAACTGCGCAGATGTCGCCACTTTACTGGGTTCCTGGGAGGCCCGTCGGAACAGGGGAGTACCTGGGACCTCGCCGATCCCTGGGTGGCTGCGAACTGCGCAGCTGTCGAACTGCGCAGCTGTCGCCACTTTTGTGGGCTCCCGGGAGGCACGGCGGAGTAGGGGAGTACCCGGGACCTCGCAGCTCCCTGGGAGGCTGCGAATAGCTGTCGCCACTTTCGTGGGCTCCTGGGAGGCACGGCGGAGTAGGGCAGCACCCAGGACCTCGAAGCTCCCTGGGAGGCTGTGACCTGCGAAACTGTCGCCACCTTCGTGGGCTCCTGGGAGGCACGGCGGAGTAGGGGAGTACCCGGGACCTCGCAGCCCCCTGGATGGCTGCGAACTGCGCAGCTGTCGAGCGCTGCAACCGTCGCCACTTTTGTGGGGGCTCCTTGGAGGCACGGCGGAGTAGGGAAGACCCGCGACCTCGCAGCTCCCTGGGAGGCTGCGAACTGCGCAGCTGTCGCCATTCTCGTGGCGCAGATCCCTGGGAGGCTGCGAACTGCGCGGCTGTCGCCACTTTCGTGGGCTCCTGGGAGGCACGGCTGAATATGGGAGTGCCAGGGACCCCGCAGCTCCCTGGGTGGCTCCGAACTGCGCTGCTGTTGCCACTTTCGTGGGCTCCTTGGCGGCACGGCGGAGTAGGGGAGTACCCTGGACCTCGCAGCTCCCTGGGAGGCTGCGATCTGTGAAGTTGCCGCCACTTTTTGCGGGCTCCTTTCAGGCACAGCGGAGTAGGGCAGTACCCGGGACCTCGCAGCTCCCTGGGAGGCTGCGAACTACGCAGGTGTTGCCACTTTCGTGGGCTCCTGGGAGGCACGTCGGAATAGGGGAGTACCTGGGACCTCGTAGCTCGATCCCTGGGTGGCTGCGAACTGCGCAGGCCGTCGCCACTTTCGTGGTGCAGCTCCCGGGGAGGCTGCGAACTGCGCAGCTGTCGCCACTTTCGTGGGTTCTCCTGGGAGGTACGGCGGTGTAGGGCAGTACCAGGGACCTCGCAGCTCCAAGGGAGGCTGCGCACTGCGCAGCCGTCGCCACTTTTATGGGGGCTTCTTGGAGGCACGGCGGAATGGGGGAGTACCGGGAACCTCGAGCTCCCTTGGGGGCTGCGAACTGCGCAGCTGTCGAACTGCGCAGCTGTCGCCACTTTTGTGGGCTCCCGGGAGGCACGGCGGAGTAGGGGAGTACCCGGGACCTCGCAGCTCCCTGGAAGGCTGCGAACTGCGCAGCTGTCGCCAGTTTCGTGGGTTCCCAGGAGGCACGTCGGAATAGGGGAGCACCCGGGACATCGCATCTCCCTGGGTGGCTGCGAACTGCGCAACTGTCAACTGCCAGGGTCCGCATCTCGTCGCAGCCTCATTTCGGCATAAGCTTCATACATTTCATGCCCCCATAGGGAGCACCAACTGAGACCCACATGCCAGGGTCCGCATGGCGTCGCCGCCCCATACCGGCACAGCCCTCATACATTTCGTGGCCCCTGTAGGGCCATAGGGAGCTCCAACTAGCGCCCAAATGCCAAGGTCCGCATGGCGTCGCCGACTTATTCCCGCACACTCCTTACACGTTTCGTGCCCCCACACGGAGCTCCAGCTTAGGCCCACATGCCAAGGTCCGCATGGCGTCGAAGCCTAATTTCGGCACAC